TGAATTTAAGGATGAAAGAATTTTGAGATGGTCATCCAAATTAGCTTATCATTTCCCTCCCTCTTGATCTTATCCATTTCTTTTTTTAATTGTGCTACATGTTAAAGGATGATGATCTCTATATCATATATCCAAACATGAAGTACATAGATTGCTATCGACCGACCTCAAAATAGGTGCGACTTCTACATAAGTCCACTTACGATTTCTTAACATAACGCTAAATTTTGTACCGATTCGAATAAATGATCATCCGTGGCCCAAACCTATGTTTGCAAGCCTAAGTATGTTAATTTGATCTCTTTGATCCAATAACCTTGAGATTCATTGTGCGGAGGCTTTTGTTCTACCAATCCTCTAATGGATCTAAATCACTTTTGGTCAACGCGGATCACTTAAACATCGTTGATCATTAGATGTTACTTTTTAAGGATTCCAAAATGGATGATATACTTGACAAAAAGCAAATGCAACTTGTTGTGTGGAGGATTTGGTTCTACCAATCCTATAATGAGTTACAAATGCAAGTCTCAAGATGGCCATCCAACTAACCACTAATTTCTAACAATTGACTTTATTTTATGCCTTTTTTTTTGTGCTCTTTACTTTATGTACCATTTACCTTAGCATTTACTTTTATGCTATTTTCATCTTTGCTCACTTGAGAATTTACTTTTATGTCATTTTTATTTTGCTCACTTGAGCTTTTCTTTTCCTTTTGAAGATACTTAACAATCAACATGAACCATAAAAAACATTAATGATACTTGGATTATTTGGTTACTATCCTTGGCATTATGGAGTATTTGACTTCTTGGACTTAGGAATAGAAACCTTGGCTTATGTTGGATACCTTGTGACTTTAATGGATATTTTGTCTGGAGCTCTTGAGGTTTACCTCAAGACATTGGGTTGTTTGTTTGTTTTGTGTGCGGGTTATTGTGATTACATACTTTGTTTGTAACCTGGAATTCACCCATATACAGCTGTTACTCAGTCCAATTTTTTCGAAGACTTAATACACTTGAAGCTTGGTTTTCTCAAGAGGTTCGGTATCCTTGCTTGGTTTCAATCTAAAGAATGGGAATTCTATCTTGACTCATAATGTTAAGTGTTGGCTTCTTGTTGGTTAGACGTTTCTTTTCCTTAGCTTTTACCTTATGCTTTAGGATAGTCCCTTCATCTCCTCCCATCTTCTTTAATTTTCAAAACCTTCTCATCTTTTTCAAAACCTTCTTTGTTTATAAAATCGAACCGCTTTCATAATAAACCTCGACTTTGTCGAGTGCCTTTTCTTCTAAAATTCTTTTCTTTAAACAAACTTCAATTCACTTAATCATACTTTGACATCTTTCAAAATTAACAAAAACACTTCAACTCATTCAAACCTTTTTGTACGCTTGAGCACCTTTACCCTTCAAAACTTTTTTCAAGGTGAGACATGATTCATTGATAGTCGAGCAACATTCTCATATCCCTATGGTTATAAAGGTGTCGACTTTTCCACTTGAGTACTAGAGGCGTTCTTAAACCCTCACTCTTGCTGATGCAGGATCCATCTTTCTCACACCTTGTGGGCGTTAGTTTATATTTCTCTCCTAAAAATGATGACTTGTATCTTCGTTTAAAATCAATCAACAGAGAAGTCTTTTATAGCCGAACTATGGTGCTCTGACTTTCCCATTGCACGATGGAGTACGTAGGCACTAAGTCTTACGACCCAAGGCAAGCAACAAAAATAATAAAAAAAACATTTCATTTTCTTTTGTTTACAAATACTGATTCATTCTTTTCCTTTAGCAAGTAAACCTTTACATGACACTTATTTTAAAAGAAACCAAACAAAGTGGATCCTGTGGAGTACCCTAGATGCTTAGGGTTCTAATACCTTCCCTTTGCATAACCGACCCCCGTACCTCGATCTCTGATCTTTTTGGGTTTTGTTCGCTTTTTTCCCATTTCCCTTTGGAAACAATAAAGTGCGTTGGCGACTTCATTGTGTTGAGATAAGTCAATTGATGGCTTAACCTCAATTCTTTACCGCTACATTTTCTTTACATATCATCACTGTTGCAATTGAGTTCATCTGTCTGCTACGTCTTCGACGACAGTGACGATTTTGCTGCGCGACACTGAAAAATCAATTGTACTTGTGCAAGCTTGGATCTGTGAGAACCCTTATGAGAAATGCCTTGAAAAATGAGAGGACAAATTTTGCAAGGAACCTAAACATAGATCAAATAGTATACTAACAAAGTTAATACACATAGCAAAGATAAACATCTAAACTACCTTAAGTAAAATGGATATGTATCAACAAGATGGAGAACAATCATGTTAGGCATTTAGATCAAACACTAACATCTAGAATTAGAAACTTCACATCATGGTATCAACCAAAACTCTCAAATAAATTATAATGAACTCATGGCATCAAGTACAATATTTATATCATAGAGGCACGTCACAAAGTTTAAGCATTAAGGTTACAACCTAAACATGCTCCTAATCATCAATCAACCTTAGCAAAGGTAAAACATGCAATCAAATTGTTACATTATTAACAAGAATTATGTACAAAGGATTCAAGAGTTAACAAACTCAACATAAACATGTTACACAAACAAGGATTAAGACTCAAAGGTATCTACCTAATCATCAAAGGAAAAAAAGGTTTACAAACACCAAGTTCACATACCGAAAGGTATAACACAAACATGCTTCAAGTTTCAACTTTTAAAAACAATACTTGAACCAATTCATATCATGGTATCTACACATTCAAGAAAAAGATATATCAAGGCTAAAGGTGTAAACATAACCTAAAGATCAAGCCTAAGGGTCATGCATCATGGTTTTCAAACCTACACTAAGCATTTTCAACAAGTACAAGAAGAAACATGCTTTCAAATATCACAATGTAATCAAAATTTAGCATGCAAGTAAATTTTGAGATACACAAGATAAAAAAACCTTACAAGGTAGAAACATACTCACAAGTATTTATCTTAGACAATCCTTACAAGGAAAGTAAGCATCAAGGCGAACCAGGTACCCAAATTAGGTCAAAAGTATCCAACTATCAACCTATGAACCAAACACTAAGATTCACTTAGTATATGATTCAAATTAAACCTAAACATCAAGGTAAGAGTCATTTAAACATGTTAGCATCTTAACAAAGAAGTTACTCCAAAACTTATCAAAGCATGGAAAACTATACAAGAGAGGTAAGCTCCTAACTAGGTTAACATGTCAACAAATTAGGCATTATTTGGTTGCAACAAAAAGAATTATCAAATCAAGACCTAAAGAGATCTAAAATTCATGAGATTAATAGATCACACATGTATCCATTATTGTGCCAAGGAAGATCTCCTAAGCTATTGCACAAGTGCATGCCTTAAACCAATTTATTAACATAAATTGATTCCTAACTACACAAATACATAGCCTACAAAAGTAGGACTTCAGCTCATGCATCTCTATCCTACTCCTCATGGAAAGATTAATTGAAAACGATGCGAAAATGAGAGATTAAAGAGAGCTCCGGTGGTACCTAATGGAGAAGGTATGTTGCCTCTTCAAAGCCACGCAAGCGATACGAAAACTCTATACAAAGCTTCCTTCATAAAGGATCAAACACAAAGCTTGCAAATCACCTGAATGTTCAATGAAACACAATGCTATTTTTATCAAGTTTATGTGAGGAAAATCCCTAAAAGGTTGCACAAGTGCATACAAAAAATTGCCTACTTCGAGGTAGGACTTCAACTCAAAAATTTCCTACTTCAAGGTAGGACTTCAAATCGAACATTGCCTACTTCAAGGTAAGACTTCATATCAAACATTGTCTACTTCAAGGTAGGACTTCAGATCAAACACACTATATGCTTCTAGCAATCAATAAAAGCCTAGCACAATGCGTGAAAGAGAGATAAAATCGAGATTCAAGTGATACCTAACTGAGAAAATTCGTTGCTTCTTCAACGCGTGCAAAAATGCTCAAGAGCAACTTGTAGAAGATTCACCACTGATCAACCAAATTTATCCTCAAACACTCAATATCACAAATCAACCTCTTATCACGAAATCATGGCAAGAAAGTAACGATAAAATGATTATTAACATGAAAAGAATAATTTGAAACTTCAATTAAATTCTAAAGAGGAATCTGTAAAACATTCTAAAATATTCTACATGTTTTGTATTATTTTACAACAAAATTATCAAGATCATAGAAAAATTCACAAACAAGTTGATTAAAAACAAACACAAGAATTTAATGAAATAATAGAAAAATAAAGTGGTCAGAGGGGAGTGCAAGCCAAATCTAGGGATGTTTGGGATCAACAACAATGGCACAAAGCCCAGCCTGAAGAATCCATTAGTTATCTTTATCAAATAGTACACCAATCTCAAATTCAACATTAATATTAACTATTATTAAAAAGAATTAAAAAAAACTTAACAAAATAAAAATGAAGAGGATAAAGGCATTGGTATTTAGGTAAAAAATTGTGACCATTAGAATCACACGGTGTTTCCTTCTCCTCGGCGAACCTTCTACTCGATCTTCTCCGATCTTCTTACTCCTTCTTCTCCGATTGCTCACGGCGCTCTCTAATTTTCGAATCAAATCGATACCGAGGAGGAAGATCCGCAGGTATCTAATTTCTTTTCCTTCTTCTACATTTCTATGCTTTTTTTTCTTCCGTTCTTGAAGTTGTTCCGTTGCGTATTGGTGTGAAGTAATGAACGATGACGATGTGATGAAGATTGAATGATGGTGATGATGCGGTCAAGATTGAAGTGCAGGTTTATGGCAGAAAATGATGACGCGCAGAGAGATAAAGATCGATGATGATTCTCTGAAGAATTGGTTGCAGAAGGTGAATGAAGATTGGAACATAGCAGCAGAACAGCGTGCATTGTGTCGGAGGGAAGTTGGACCATCTTTTCGTCGAGCTATTGAGCACTTTCGTTTGCTGCAGCATCCTTTATGTCTGATTCAGAGATTCCAAGGGACATAGCACGTGCACGGCCTTATGAAGTAACAAAATCTTGTAGTTTCTTTTGTAAATTTGTAATGGTTTGAAAATAGTATTGATTGTCTTTTTCCTTTTGAACGATTTTGGGACATCTTGAACTTTGAATGAATGAGTATGGCTTTTGTAATGAGTTTGGCGATTTAACCTTGAACGAATTAGGATGGAAACATGAAAATGAGAGTGTGATGTAGCTTGGCATTCAAAATGAACTTTGATACTTGAGTTAATTGAAAACCTTTAACTTCATGAAAAAATTCAAATATTCCAAGTAATTTTCTCTTTCAACTTGTCTTAGAATTTCCGATCTTCTTTAATTTTGTATTTTTTTAAGGGTTAAATAAGTTTTTGGTCTCTCTAAATATCTAAAATTTCATTTTTAGTCCTTTTAAATTTTTCCTTCAAAGAATAATTCTCTTAAAAAATTAAATTTTAATTTTTGGCCTCTAATTTCGTCGTTAAATAAAAACCGCCGCTAAAACCGTCGCTAAATTGAAGGACATACTAAAAGTTAAAATTTAATTTTTTTATGAGGACCATTCTTTGAAGGAAAATTTTAGAAAGACTAAAAACAAAATTTAAAATATTTAGATGGATCAAAAACTTATTTAATCCTTTTTTATAATGTACCATGGACATTGCTTCATCCAAAACCATGAACAACTAAAGTTCTTTTAGCCTTTCACATGTATCACCATATTTTAAAAGTTTTCAAGTAATTGAATAAACTCTTGCATCTCTTGATCCTTAATCCTCAAAAATTTTGGTCTTAACTTGGTCTTAACTTGAAACAATTGAAAAGAATCCATAAGATGTAGCATGTGTCACAAGTAAGCCATGTATTTAGATGAATAGATTTGCATCCTCATGTCCACAAACTTTATTAAATAAAACTCAAGTATCTTTTCCTTTTGTTTAAGGCCATGAACATATACCTTGAGATTCAAGTAACAATTAAACCTCCTTTGATGAAGAAAGGTTAATAGAAAACCCTAATTTGCCATGAATACCTCAATTATCATGCAATAACTTATAATTCAAGTAATATATTGAAGAATTACATCTCGCACTAATGAACCAAACTTCGTGAACCTTTGGATCATCACTCGATTTAAGGAAATAAACCCTAATTCCACAATCCATGCTTAATGAGGGAATACATTGAATAACGCTTGATTGAAAAGGAGACCCTCAAAGCCATAAAAACCCTGACTTGCATGACCAATGATGTCTTGAACCTCAGGTAATTTATTGAACGAATGTATGCTAATGACCTAATGAAATGCATGCAAATGTAATACTCAAACATAAGCCAGCAAAACACAAAATCAGGAGGGCAAATTTTGGGATGCAACACTGATATAATGGGACACTCTTTAGATTGGAGAACATGTGTGTGATGTACCAATGGATGATGGATAAGGCATGTAGAGAGGAGATGCATTAAACACTAGAGGTATACCAGAACTCATATCATTTCGAAGATAAAATTGATAGCTAAATCGTCAGACACAAATTTCCTAGAGTTGATTGCCCAAGAAACATGTATCAATGTCGACGCGCATAAGAAAAGTATCACTCAAGGTTCTTCAAAGTTTTAATAAATAAATTGTTTTCCTAAAATAAATATTGTATGCTCGAGTACTATTATAATCCTCGTCAATATGGTATAGAATGTGCTTATGAAACATCATCCTGTAGCGGTAGAAATGTTGAGACTAAGCCATTGGATTGACTTAACTCGCACAGATCAAATAAAAATCTCCACCCAGAGGAATGGGAAAAGAGCGAATAACCCAAAAAGAGGGGAAGAGAATCTAAGTTCGGGGGTTGGTTATGCAAAGGGAATGTATTAGCACCCTAAACATCTAGGGTACTCCGCAGGAACCTCTTTGAAAATTTGTGTATTTTGGCTATAAGTGTTGTATACAAAAAATAAATTGTGGGGATGAGAAAAGAAATAGTTTTTACAATATTTTCACTTGCCGCGATTGTGAATCTTTAGTGTCTACATATCACATTCCATGCAATAGGGGATCAAGGTACTCGTAGTTCACCTTTAAAATTTTTAAAACACAAGTGTGTTGGTTAATTTTAAGAGATGAGACATCATCGTCTTATCCTAGTGGAAGAACATACTCACTATCCACGACTATGAGAAAGGAGAATTTGTGTCGTCTCAAAATAAAGGATATAGCTTGGGTTTTAAAATTAAAAAACTTCACTCAACACCCAAGCAGAAAATATCCCACTTCACTACATATCGTAGAAGTATAGTAGCTCGCATCACTATAAGGATTGACAAGAGTATAATCTTTTTGTGAAAGTTTTAAGGTAAAAAGACAAAATGGAAAATAGTTTGAATGAGATTGATTGACTTTTAGTCTTCTTACAAAAATGTCAAAGCATGATTAAGTTGGTTAAAGTTTAATTAAGAAAATATTTTTGAAAATGCAAGGACCTAAGTCCAAGTTTATTATGAAAGCGGTTCAAGTTAGAAAAACAATAATAGTTTTAAAAAGGAGGGAGAAGATTTTTGAAATTAAAGAAGGTGAGAGGAGATGAAGGGACTATCATAAAGCATAAGGTAAAATCTAGGGAAAAGAATCGTCTAACCAACAAGAAGCCAACACTTTACATAATGAGTCAATGTAGAATTCGTATCCTTTGGATTGAAACCAAACAAGCAAAGATAATAAATCTCTTAAGAAAACCAAGCTTCAAATACATAAGTCTTCATAAAAATTGGGCAGAGTAACGACTATATACATATGAATTCCCAATTATAGACAAAGCATATAATCAGAATAACCTGCACACAAAGAAAACAAACAACCCAATGTCTCGGGGTAAACCCCAAGAACTCCAGAAAAATTAAGAATAAAAGTCACAAGGTCTCAAGGTAGGTCAAAGTCTCTACTCCTAATTCCAATAAGTCCATAACTCCAAAATGCCAAGGATAGTAGCCAAATAGTCCAACTGACATAAAAGTTTTTTATTATTCAAGTTGGTTATTAGGTATCTTAAAAAAGAAAATGAAAAGCTCAAGTGAGCAAAATAAAAATGACATAAAGATAAATGTTCAAGTGAGAAAATATGAAAATAGTATGAAATGTAAATGCTAAAATAAATGGTGCGTAAAAGTAAAGGCGTAAAGTAAAAGCATAGAAATAAAAGTCAATTGTTAATGAGTTAGAAATTAGAGGTTAGTTGAATGACCATCTTGAATCTTACATTTGAAAACTCATTAGAAGATTGATAAAATCAAAGCCTCTTAACAACAAGTTTCATTTGCTTTTTGTCAAGTATATCATTCATTTCAAATTCTCGAGGCAACAATCAAATGATCAACGATGTTTAAATGATTCACTTAGACCAAGTTTTATGAAAGTTCTTTAGAGGATTGATAAGACCAAAGCCTCCTAACAATGAACCTCAAGGTTATTGGATCATAGGTTTCAAATTAAACATACTTAGGCTTGCAAACATACGTTTCGACCACAAATGATCATTTCTCGAATCGGGACAAAATTTAGCGCTATGTTAAGCAATCGTAAGTGGACTTATGTAGAAGTCGCACCTATTTTGAGGCCGGTCAATAGCAATCTATGTGCCATATATTTGGAGAAATAATATGTAGATTATTCTCTAACAACACGTAGCACATGTAAGAAAGGGATAAGATGAAGAGGGAGGGCAAATATTTGAATCAAAGATTTTAATCAAACTATCATTAAAATCATCCAATCATTTTGGTGGAGTTAAACTCATCACCCAAGATCCAATGATGTTAATGAAGCTCATGATCAAAAATCACATAGCCAAGATATATTAAAAATAAATAAATTGCATTTAATGAACAAAATAAAAAGGGAAAATGATTTTTAAATTGTTTTTTTAAATGAAAATAAAAGGAAAAATAGCAAACTATATTTAAAGTATCAAAGAAAAATTAAAAGAGACCATAGAAAAGTCATAAGTGATCCAAAGTATTTTTATAAAACTTTGGTAATTTTTTAAAACAAAAAAGAATTTTTAAACTAATTAAAATTACTCAAATAATTAAAAAAAGATCAAAAATAGTAGAATTCAAAATAAAATTCTAGAAAAATTTCAGAAAGTCATAAATAGGGAAAATGATTTTTATGAAAATTTTTAGAATTTAAAAATACCAAAAAGTATTTTTAAATAATTAGAAACAAGTCAAAATAAAGGAAAAATTATAAAAAATATCAAATCTTAAAATAAAATCATGAAAAAATAAATATCCGAAAGAGAATATTTGAAAATATTTTTGTGAATTTTTTCATAATTTTTGAGTCAAAAATGAATTTCCTATGATTTTTTTAAGCTTGGTGTAAAAAACAGAAAATAAAATAAAGTTAAAAAAATGTGTACCATTGGGTGAGAGTCAAAACACGCTAATAATCAGATCCAAAGGATCAGGCACGCTGTGTATATCATGGTCAGCTTGGAAATTGCACCAGATCACCTTTAAATAATTAAAAAGAACTAAAATTTTGGCGCGTTGGATGGAGTCCGACTAATGGAAGTAATCAGATCCAAGAGCTCTCAAAACGCGCGTATGATAAAGAAAACACACTGGATTGAATTCAAACAAATTACATGTCATGCCTTCATTGGTCGAAGCACGACACGCAGGTCGTCTTCAACCTCCGGACGCCCTAGATTAGGGTTCCTCAAACTGTAAAATTAGATGACCAAAACGGTACCATTAGATTCGTCTCTTCAAGACAATTCTAATGGTACCCGCGCGCCAAACTTATATAAACTGAGCAAGGCTTTAATTGAGAAAAAGAAAAAATAATAACGAGCACGAAATTCTTGAATATCTCACTCAAATCTCAATGAAATCAAAAATTATAAAAAGCATGAGAATCAGAAGGATGAAGAGAGTAGATTAGTCTTTTATTTGTATTGATTTGACTAAGAAATTTACCTGAACGAAGTAGAAAAAAGTGGCTCTGAAACTGGACTTCTATAGATCAATATAGGTCACAATTCTTGAAGGTAAGAGTATGGTTAGCTTCTGAGAAGTTCAATGGAGCTAACTAAATGGAGCTTTTGGTGTTTTGGAGTGAGAATGAAAGAAATCAGAAATTCAAATTCAGAGTTCGTGCGGGATCTAAATAGGGGGAAATTGGCTATCAAAAGCTTATGAATATAG